AGCTGGGAGAAAGGTAACAGAGGATGACAAGCAGCCAAATGACTTTTTACCTGTAACCGATATCCGAGCGGAGACAAATAATGTCGACGAATAGGACGGCGGAGATGGCGCGTTTGGCGATGTGGTCGACCTTCAAGCGCGCGGCACGCGTAATGTCTCTCCGTGATGGGGCTGTCAGACGCTTCGCGCTTGGCCTTATTTACCTCATCACAAAACATACGGTTTTGCTTTCGCAGCGATGCAAATATGATGAAACGCGCTGTGGAAAAGCCATCAGATTGTCGTAAAGTCTTCATTTGCATCAAGGAGGTCCAAACTTTTCCCACTGAGGGCGACGCATGGGAAAATGCAAGGCGGCAGTGGGCCATTTCGTTTTCTTTTTGCGAAACGAAGCCGATAAACAGTGGCAGCTCAACTTAAGTATATGTTTTAGAGGGGCGCAGGGGTAAGCAACCGACATTTGAGCTTTTCAGTTTGTTGTTGATGGCAAAGCGAAAAATTATTAGTGATTGTGTGAGAACTGAAATGAAAATTCATTTTAATATTTTGAATTTGATAAAAACATATCTACATTCAACCTTTTTCAAAAGTGATGCTATCTTTCAACATTTTCTCATTAACCTTTTAAAATGGATGGTATTTTTCATGTATTATTTGAGAATTCATTTTTTTAAAAAATATTTTTAATTTATTGTATTTATTCTACAAATATATTGGTAATGCTATATTTTATATTGCACTTATATTGAACTGTGTACAATTATTTTCTGAAACATTTATTTTGTGCAATTTCTCTCTCCCCCCCCAATTTCGCTGCTGTAGCCTGCAAATTTCCCCACTGTGGGACAAATAAAGGTTATCTTCTCTTAAAAACGTGGTGGGCCAATGAAAAACGTGCCGCTTGCCACAAATGGGCTCCGGGCCGGACTTTGGACACCCCTGATTTACATGGATTTTTTTTTTCCCCCTCCCGTAGACTTTAAGACCACTCATCTCAATTATGTCCATTCATTACAGAAAGCCGGTCTTTATCACTCGGCGCCTATTAGAAAAAAAAAAAATGACCGCGGGACTTTCCCAGCCAGACAAGGGAAAAATGCAGCGAATCAATTCTGCATGTGCTGATTAAATTTAAATACAGAGGTCAAGAGCGCTCATTATTTGTCGTAAAATATTTAAATGGAGTTAATATTTCATACAGCCATATATGAATTAATTCCAAAGGAAAATGTTAGCACGGAATAAAATGCATTAAGAGCCAAGTCAGCGAGGTGATGCTTTTTTTCATTTGGCTATGCAGAGGCTTTTTGCATCCCAGGTTGCCTCAGTGTCAAAGTGACTCATCGAGAGTGTACACAGAAAGTCTAACCGCTGCTCTTCCCGGAATAAAAACAACTTCAGACGTGAATGTTTCTATAAGGCCGTGTCACATTTTCTCCATATGCTCTTCCATTTCTACTCTCTGTAGGTGTCATGGCTCCGTATAGTTATTCATTGTGTGTGGCAGTTGAGGTAGCTCGTCAAAAGATTCACAAATAAAAAATGTATTTCAAACACTATAGCTTAAAGCTGAAAAGAAACATAGAGGAAGGTGAATATTCTTTATCCACTCTTAAAAAAAAAAAGACCTAAAATATTACTGCAGCTAACTGAGGAGTTGTGACCGTCTCAATGTAGAGCCAAATGTTCGTATTATACTGCCCCCAGGTGGCCATAGAGCGCGCACACAAATAATCACAATGAATGAATCATGACAGATGCTTTTTAATTCCCTAAGTAGCATATATTCGTTCATATTTATTCTTCATATTTATACTCATATAGAGTGCTAAAATACATTACAAAATGTTTTTTGGGGGGGGCGGGGCTTGGGGCTGGAATGGTTTCATCCGAATTTCATCCAGTCCAGTGGAGAAACACGATTTGAATGTTTTCATTATAGCTCGAGTCGATTGATTGGTGTAATTATTGATTTATTTTGAGGGCGATGCAAATTCCAATATTTGGAAGAATAAAATCAAGGTCGCAGATTTATTTTTATAAATAAATATATAAGTTGAAACTTCATGTCATGCATACATTCGTTCCACACAGGCTGATGCGTATCAAGTGTTGATTCATTTTAATTTACATCTGAAAACAAATTTTAAAAAAAAAATCTGTTTCTCAGAAAATTAGAATGTTGTAAAAATCGTATGCGACACGAGGGGTTTCAGCTGCGGCGTTCCTTGAATAAAAGACAGCGTCAGAAGCCTGGGCTCAAGACAAAAAAAGGACTGGACTGCTGCTGAGTGGACCAAAAGCAATTTTTGCGTTTCCTTTGGAAACTGGAAGTCTGGAGGAAGCGCTGGGTCACAGAATCCACGTTGCTTGAGGTCCAGTGTCAAATTCCCACAGTCAGTCATGGTTCGGGGTGCCATGTCATCTGCTGGTTTTGGTCCTTTTGTGTTTCCTGAAGTCCAAGGTCAACGCAGCCATCCACCAGGAAATTTTCCAGAGCTCCACGCTTCCTGCCGCTGACCAGTTTTGTGGAGTTGCAGATTCCATTTTCCAACAGGACTTGGCACCTTCACACAGTGACAAAGCTATTCAGTACCTGGATGTAAGGACCATGGAATTCTTGTTCTTGACTGGCCAGCAAACTCGCCTGACCTTTAACCCCTATTATTTATTTCTTGCTTCTTTTTTTAAATTTTTTTAGTCTGTTTGAAAAAACATGGACCGTGTCTTTTTTTTTCAAACTATTATCAAAGCAGTAATATCAGCCGGCCGGCCGATGAATCGGCTCCCCCGCGTTTGCGCATTGCAGTGGCGCGGGCATCAAAGCAGCTTTCTAATAAATCCATTTTGGTGTCCAAAACAGCCCCGAAGCAGTCTGAAGGCGATTTGTTTTGATTTTGTGTGATTAAACAGAAAAATCAAAGGCCGGACGATTATTTTTCTCCATCCTATCAGGACAGCGTATCGCAACGAGATAGGGATGCACCTGCGTCAACAAGTTAATTGCCGAAAAGTAATCATCGACTCGCATTCATCGATCATTTGCAAAACAGATGATCTCCGAAGGTGCCACAAGAAATTCTGGATGGAAAACCAGAATATGTCGGCCTCCTGCATATACGGATAAGACAAGACGAGCCACGCGCGGCGAGCAGCGGGGCAAGTCTCCTCCGCAGCGCGATTAGTTCTGCTCCAGAAACACGGAGAGTGACGAGCTAATCGGCGTCGCGTCGGCGCTGAGCGAAGGCCTCTCTGAGGAACCCGAAGGAACAGATCGATGATCCGCCGGCCCGCCCGCAGACAGCCGGTGATGCACGGGCGCCGTCGAAAAACAATGTCAACATGACGCATGGAGTCACGCGGCTGCGAATCGAGTGGCGTCTTAATCTTAACGACACGATCGAGACGTGGCAGTCTTCTTTACTTTTTTTTTGGGGGGGGGGGGACCCATGTGGTGTCTGTTGGATGTGTGTGTTACGTGTTGATAAACACTCGCTCTGTTGTTAAAAGGTCAAAACTACACCGAGTCACATTATGTGGTGTCACACTGTTGACATCATGCCTCCATCACGCGATCCCACACAAGACTCGATTTTTCTCGCTGCCGATATCCAAGGTTGAAGCAGATTTGGGGTAGAGCGCACTCGTCGAGATGAAAAAGGAGACTAATTGTCATGTAGGATTTTGATTGATTTTGAAATCATGATTGATAGCTTCAAAGAACACCCGGAAAAATAAATAGTAACCAACTAAAATAAAAAAAAAACAAAACAAACAAAAAAAAAAAACCGAAAAAAAAATGTCCACATTTCAGCTTACAAGAACTCAATATTTCAAACTGGGGGGAACAAAACAACAACATGGTTTTCTCTATAATCTTAACCTGGTGAGCATATTTTTGATATTTCCAGAGTGTAAATGGAGCAAGTTAAATTTCCGACCATTTCTCGAGGCTTGAAATTGCCTCGATTTCTGATGCATGATGAATATGTCATTTGTTGCTTTCGTTCAAGTGATCTTGTCCTGGAAATGTTGTTGTCCATGTTGATCTTTCTCGGTTTGGCATTCATACTGCGTTGTTTTTTTTTTTTTTTTTAAATAACACATCGGAAATTATCAACAGTTAGTCAGTACTTGAGTAATGTCCTCACGGAGTACTTTTCTCTCTCTCTCTCTACATATACAAAATAATAATTAATAAATTAATGGGGACAAATTTTAAAGTGGCCCTTGCATCCTGCCATTTTTCTGTTTTTGGCCCTCAATGAAAAAGTTTGGACACCCCTGGCCTAGACTAGACCCCAAACTTTAGCCTTGGGTATAAAGTGGACTAATCCAGATGAAAGCCACAGCGTGACCCTGCAGTTAAAAAAAAAAGAAAAAGCGAGTCCATTTGAAGTCTGCTCCTTCAGATTATTCCCGAACAGAAGAACTGACACTTCGTTGACTTTTTAGATTTTTTTTTTTTTTTTTTTTTTTTCTTGGCCTTGAGGGAGAACGACTCTCTGTCTGTCCGGCACGGTCATGCTCTGGGGGCTTTTCGTTGTGCTTTTTTTTTTTTTTCTTTTTCCCTGTTCACTGGATTAGTTGTGCATTTTGCAAGACTCTGCAAGCCGCGGCGCTTGTTCTCCCTCAGCGAGCCTCAGGGGGTGGGGTTGGGGGGGGATCTCCGCTACGCAGGGCACGGGGCCCCTCGCATGCTACGAGGACACCTCTAAGCATGCTCCTCCGTTGGACTGCATGTCTCGGCCTGCCGTATGTCGGCCGGCGAGCCATACAAATCGGGTTCAAAGAGCGTCTCCTTATGGCCGCGCGCCGTCAAAACAGTCGAGCGAGACATCAGTTTTGATTGAAAGCAGAGGTTGCGCTTTTGTCGGCTGTTCCTTTGCCCTTCCCGTTTCTGATGAATTTACATGCCGCCTGTGATTTCCACTCCATTTCTTGTCTCTCGTCAGGAGATTTACACCACTATCTTCATTTATTTTCTCTCCTGTCCTTAGATAACCTGATCCCCGCCGTGCACCTCCCCCCCACCGCTCTCCAAATTTCAAACTGAGTGACTCGTTGAGATGGACGTAATGAGACAGGTTGGGAAGAGGAGGAGAAAGGAGAGCAGGCCCACGAAGGAGCGCAGCCAAGGTGAAAAACAATCAGGTGAGGCTCCGCGGCGACTCCCGGGACGCCCGACGCAACCAAAGACATGACATGATTTTCGCCACCGACAAATGACTTTTTTACCGCCAGTCAGCTCTCGTTTGCCTTCTCACCGTTTTTACATGTTTTGGTTTGTTTTCAGGCCCGTCTTCGTTTGCTCGGATGCAAGTTTGATCATCCATGTGAGTAATATCTTTTCTTTTTAGTCTGTGACCTTTTCTGTCGAAGAAAGTACGCTAAACTGTAATCAAGGTGATGGCGCGTGTGGAAAATGGTCACTGGATTTTACCGCCTCCAAATGAATTGGTTCATCCAACATGCCGCTGACTATGATTACTTTGAGATTTAATTTCGCGACAGGGCAAAATAAAAGTGGAACCAAACTATTTTTGAAATGAGGTTTGGGCAGGAGACATTCCATTACTTACTTGCAATGTTTTGTGGTTTTAGATTATTACTCAGATCATTCTGTTGAATTGTCTGGGATTTTTTTTCATTCTGGTTACGGAAGTATTTTGTAGTTTTTGTTTTTTTTTTCTAAAATGCTTTATTTTAGTTATTTTTTTTTTTTGCAAGTGCAAGATTCATTTTAGTTTCATCATTAGTATTAGATTTATTATTTTTTTTTTTTTTAAGAAAAGAAACATTTGTCGAGTTCAAGACAAAACAGGTTATTCAGTAGTCTGTCATGAAATAAATTTCAAATCCTGACTGCTCCACTTTCCGTCTTCCGTACAGTCTTACAGTCAGACTGAAATGAGTACATTTCAAATAAACACAGAATGATGGAAACAAAGAACATTTAGCTTTAACATCAGTTGTAGTATCATCATCGAGTTAAAGGCAAGATGTACGTGAACGTGTTTTATTTTTTGGCATTGAATACATTCAGTAACTTAAAGCTCATGCTCAGAAAGTATTTTTCCACTCCTCTCTCCCCTGCCCCTCAGCAAAACCCTATTTTCCAAAGTTTACCCGAACCTCACCACCCAATTTCTGAACTTGCCCTTTCGAGCAAGCCTTGTGGAACCGTGCGCTTTGATTACCTTCTGCTTAACACTTAAGCCGCTGAGTAATTGAGTGGATATGAGTTCGCGGTTAGAGGAACTTAATTTTTAAATTTAATTTAATTTATTTATTTTAACCGTGTTGTGGTCGACCCCTCGGCGGAAGATTACGTGAAGTCTGCAATCGATGAAATGGATTTGGATTGATGTTATTGGGCCTCTCTGAGGGTCATCAAATCGATGTAAAAGTTGTCTTCAGTGACGCCGCGCTGCACCTTCAGCGAGTTAAAAGATCTCCAGTGATTTCCTACGGAAATTCGCTATCAAGCCGGACTATTTATTTATGTGCGGCAAACCGGAGTGGTGATGGACGTTTTTTTCACGCATTTTCTGTACTTGTGAAAGTACAAACTATTGCTAACTCATTAGAGAACGAATAAATACCCCCACTCCACACCTCCCGCCCCCTCTCCAGCCCCCCCGCAGTGCATGACATTGTGAATATCATTGCAATTAACGGCCTTTCATGGTCACATTTTTTCCAGAGGTTCATTATCACATTTTGAGCTCCACTCTTCGTGGCCTTCCCTTCCAGGCGTTTCTTTGTCTTTGCTTTTTTTTTTTTCACACATTCGTGTGATGGTGGCAGAGCGATAAATTGCAGCAGGCCGGCGATTTGCCATGTAAACCCGTTCGGAGACGCGCCGGGGGCGTCAATCGCATTTGCCACGACGGCGGTTAACAATCCGCCGTAAGAGGCGACCGGGGCAAGTCGAAGTCGCGTGTTCTTCTATGCGGTGAAAAATACAAATACATGATGTGATTAGGGGGAAATAACAATACCGGCGATAACCTACCCATCGGGGGCTTTTGTCTCAGCATTGCTCAGAAAGCTTCGGTGACGCTAACTTTTCAGAGTTCGTGCAGACTCCCACAAATGAATTTCATGTGTTTATTAGCATGTCACGACTTTGTGTATGTGCGGTGTGAGCAACAGTTTCAGGCCCCGCTAATTGGGCAGTCGGCCACGCATTTTTTTTTTAGCCTCTTTGGATTGTCAAATGCTTTTAAGTGCAACATGGAGCCTTGACTCTAATTGGACAGGCCCGGAATTAAAGGAACTGGCTCGAACAGTGCATACAATTGAGAGGCAATTGTTTTGTTGTCATCCATTTGTGGATCATTAGCTGGTGTTGCTTGGCCGCTGTGTGCATCGAATAAAGCTGTTGTCATTATTAAGGAACAGCAAAAATAACAACAGTCACGATATGATGAATTTTTGCGTCGTGTTCTAATTTTTTTGGTGGGTCTGTGAGCATATTTTTGACAAATTTAGAGGTTTGAATTGGTCTTGCAATCCTGTGCTGCCCTTTTTGATTTCTTCCCAGTTGTCTGTCTTTTTTTTCATTCTGTTTTTTTTGCTTGTGCTGTTTTTACTTCAACTTGGCACCGTGAAAACTGTTTGGAGTTGCATTGGGTTTTGGCCTCGAGACAAATTTTTGCTGGGATTTGAGGGCATCTCACTGAAAACGGACAGCAATCTTCAGCAAGCCCACAGGATGGCGAGAGATAACTTTGCACATCGCTCCCTTTCTTTTAAGATTCCGTTTTACATCAAATACTTGTGGATGCATCATTCAGAAACACGCAGTGAATTTTCTGCTCCCAAGCGATCACGTGCTGTGGATCTAAAAAGTCCACACACCCCTGTTTGAATGCCCGGGTTATGTGAGACCAAGATAAGCCATTTCACGTTGTACGCCATGATTGTAACCGAGAACATGTCCGACTCCTTTGAAAAGAGCGAACTCGTTTTGAGCCAGTCAGTAGAAATAAACAACGGTGTGTTTGCAGAAGTGTGCACACCCTCTTCCAACCGAGCATGTGATTAGAATTGGCAAGTCAGAGTCAAAACTTGTCACCAGCCACCATTTAAAGGCCCTGATTAAGCCCAAATAAAGTTCGGATGTTCTAGTCGGCTTTCCTTGACATTTTTCATGCTTTCAAGCTGAAGCCGAAGGGTTGATGCTAACATTGCTTTATATTTGGAAGTGTTTGTAGTCCAAGCCACAACAATGTGTCTTATCTCAGTTTTTATATCAGGAAAAAAAAAAGCTGGCATTTGAGGATGGGTGGGTGTGTAGACTTTTTATATCCACTCTATCCATTATACAGCCTCGATATGAAATCCAGTATGTCTTGTCATATTGCAATTGAACCAACCAACTGAGCTCGACAGGAAGCAAGTGCTTGTTTAAGTCTCCTTGCTTAACGACTGTCACCTCCTGTGAGATTTGCATGCACCAATCCCCCCCCC